GCAACAATGAATGAATGGAATCCCAAAATCTCTGTAGATGTTCATTGAAATGAAAAATAGACAACCTAAATTAAAAAAAAAAAGATAAGAGAAATATACAGTCACTGAACCAAAAATAAATGGTCAACAATCAACCATTTCTGGGAGAAGCATAACATCTAGAACCAAAGGTAATGAAGGAAGCAGGTCTAGCTGCAATGAAGGAATTGTTTAAAGGTAAGTCTCCATGAATTAATGAAAGACCAGCTGAAGTGTTTTCAAGCTCAATCTAAGAAATTCAGAAGATAGTTACCTGGTAAATGGACTGGAAGAGGTCCATATTTGCTCCCATTCCAAATAAAGAAAAGATCCAACAAAGTGTAGAAATTGCCAAAGGATGTCATTAGTTGTATTAATGGTAATTAATGAGAGGAGAGTAAAGAAGACTAAATAAAAAGGGAAATGGAGTACAGCTCCTCTCTGACACATTTAGGATCACCATCAATCAGAATCAACTGTAGGGCAACTACTTTTGGTAGTTGTGGTGCTGAAACTTTTGATAGGTTTCTTTTTCGATATGTCTTCCTGTGCCTTAATATCACTATGCCTAGGTTTGAGTAAGTCTACTTACATCATCTAAGAGATCAAGTGAATCTTTTACACATGAAATTATACTTGTTTGTGGACTACAAACCCACCCAACTCAACTCTGAATAAATATCTTCGTGTCAGGAAAACATCTTTGTATCTTTGACATCTGGCATAGCTATATAACTCTCAAAAAAGTTTGTAGGGTTGTTTTTTTTTTTATTTTACCCACTAAAATTACTATTATTTGGCTCAGTAAGTTTTCAGATTCTCAAACTTTTATCTGATTAGATGTTAAAAGGCATGGTTGGCATAGGGAGTGGTCTCGTCTCATATGACTTTCACTCTTATGTGAAACATTAAGATAAAAGCTAATCAGAAAATATTAAAATGGAAGTTAAAAAAAAACCCAATCCCTTACGAGGCAATTCAGTTCATCTGCCTGAAATTAAAGGTACAAATAAAATGTGGAGAGCCTTGATAGGGACAAAGGATAATTGGTTGAAAATCTCGGTCCGAACCCAATTATCTTTTTTCACAATTCACTGTTTATTTATTTAACTTTTCTGCTTTAGTGAGACTTTTTGGTTGGTTTGGGTTTTTTTTTTCCTTTTCTTTAAAATATGCCAATTTGCATGTCAAGTACGTGCAGAGATGGTTCTCACCTGGTGAATAATGGTAACAGTTAGGGAGATTGCCCTGCTTTTGTTATCAGGTTACTCAACACTGGGCACAAAATAACTTACAAGCTGCAAGAAAGAGTAACTCTGCCCTTTCTTATTTATTCCACCGACGTGTCCTCATGTAATGACCTCCCGCTTTCCTCTCATTCTCTCTTCTTGCCTCAAAAGAAAAAAACACCCTTTTGACCTGTGAAAGGGTTCCAACAACAGCCAGCGCATATATTGAAGTTTTAAATCAATTATTGTTCTAGCACACACCCTGAGGTTGAAGAAGAAAGAACATCCAGGACTAACAAACCTGATTGTTCTGGCAAAGTTGCCACTTGATTCATGCTGGCATTCCTAGGTTTTACTTTCTCTCCACTACTACAGCTTCTTCTTCTTTTTTAAAAAAGTTACTTTCTCAAGCAGCAGTTTTTAGCTTCACTGTTTCATTCCTTTTCTCCATGAGATGTACTTCAACCTCCTAGTCGCCTGAGCATTTCCCAGAGGGCACGATGCCCAGAGTTTGCTTACTTAGTTGCAGAGACAGTCATGAATCTGATAGTGAGTTCATTAGATGATGAATTATTACTCAAATTATTACCTTCTGAGCAAGGGTGTGACTGAGGCTTTGGAATATGAGAACTCCACCACTTGGCATGCTCAGATCAAGGGAAAATATCTTAACCATAACAGTTAAAATACTAAATTATAACTGTGTATAAATGGTGACTTTTAGCTTAATGGCACTGAGTTGGTCCTATAGGAGTATTCTCATGACTACTGTTCTAGCTATGATTCTCATAAATTATGATGCACTTTTTTCCCTAGGCAAGTACTGGAAGTTGGTAAGGATGCCGACCGTGCCAAGGGACTGTGCTTTGCCTGGGACTCAACTGCAAGAGGAGACAGAAACTGTTTCTGCTCTGGCCTCCCTGTCAGTGGATGTGGAACAGCCCTTTGCTCAGGAAGAGAGCAGGTAAGGATCCAACCTGGGCAGTCATTCAAGGTAGTAGCATCCAGGTTCACCGGTAGCGTTTATGAACCTCCCAGCTGGCTTCCCTTCGTTTTGCTTGTCTCCTCCACTTCCACCACCTGTCTTCCCCAAAGCCACAGATGCCACAGTGAATGTTCACTCCCAAAAAAGCATTTGTTTCATCCTTTATCAGAAATGCAGGACTAAAGAATGTGGCTACAGAGAAATAGAAAGGATGAGTTGATGGTGAGGGGAGGAAAAGAACTTTTTGCTGAACGATTTAGTCCAGACCATTATAGGAAGAGCTGTTTGAAGGATTAACTTCTTTCTCTAGTTCTGTTTTTCCAGATGTTCTTTTTCCTTCTCTCATCATTTTGAGATTACTGATTGGAAAAAAAATAATAACAAATGTTAGCAGACACTGAAGATATTGCTAATCAGCTGAATTACCAAAATACATGGAAATGTCATATGAATGAAGATCATTGAGGTCCAAAAAAATGAAAGAAGAGTGAAGTTTCCTCTAAAGGAAGCAGAACATTTCTAAAGAGCCCAGTGGACCTGAATCTAATTTGGCTTAATTTATTTTAAGATGGATTAATTTGTAATGGGTCTTTCTAGAGAGGAGGGAGGAGTTAAAGTACAATTAGCTTTGTTTATTCTCTTTGTAAGAAATAGTTTTTCATTTGTGGATTTTCGTGTTCTTCATTCTATCCTATAGAAAATGCCACAACTGATTATTTCTTTAAAGCTGGCTGACCAACACAAATGTTCATTAACATTGCTCTTTCTAGGTCTGATTTTGAAATTACAGTCCCTCAACTTGAAAATGAATCAGGTGAGGCTTTTGCTAAAGCTCCAGCTAACTTGCACTCTTAAAATCCTTCCGAGAAGGAAATCAGACTCCCTCTGTCAATAATATGACCATTAATTACACAGATCTTGCTACTACTGCATAGGTTGGCAGTATTCCCAAGAATGCAAAATGTGAACAGTTCTAGTTTTCTTGCTTTTACTGGATCCTCAGCATGTAATGGATTTAACATCTTGTTTTGGTCAAGAGATGGAGATACGTTGAATAAAAGGTTTCATTTTTAGGCTTCCCCTCCCCCCCATGATGACTTGGAACACAGATTACTACTAGAGGACTACATTAGACTAGAGGACTGTATTGGAAGGCATCTTCTCATGAGCATCTGGAGCTTAAGGGAAAACTTGTTTTACATCTTTGATGATATGAGCAAAACCCCTGCTGTTACCAGCTAAAAACTAAACCAAGTTCATAGTCCAAAGGTGTTGCAATTATTCCCAAAGCCAAATACAGTTAGTCTGTCATCAGAGGGCTATAAAAGTGAAGAAACCAACATCTGTTAATGTTGGATATAAAATAAGCACAGCTATTCTTTAGAATTCATTTAATACAGAGAAACAAAGCTAAGTTACAACCTGAAATGAACTGGAAGGGATAGTGCCTATTAAAATGCAGCCTGTAGTTGATTTAACATTGACTTCAGTCCACAATGAAGGTCTCTGAGTGAAAAGTTAGAAGTTCAAGCTCACCAAGGGGTGCCTCTGAAGAAAGGCCTAATGTTCTATTTCTAAAAAGTCATCTAGTAAAAGTGCTATGGCATACAATTCTACACTAATATGTTTGAGATCTCCATGAGTCATAAGCAACTGTATTTTGTTTGCTTTATTTTATTCAGGGTGCAGTGGATTTTGAACTTAAGTCAAAGTCAGAATAAAGTATGTTAATGTGAATATTCTGATATTCCCGTAATTCTTGTTCAAGTTTTCAACCTCAATTCATGTTGGTTTATCAGTTTCATCAGTGAGACAGATTCTATCGCTTTCGATCGATTTTTCTTGTAAGAAGAAAAATAGTTTTGCCTGGAATGTTTTCCTCTGCTAAACTCGGCTTTTCAGCAGCGTAAGAGAAAAATTCTTCCAGAATTGGCAAGCGCATTTCTTTTGAACCATGCATAAATTTTATCTAATAGAAAAAAGAGAGACAAAGAATGAAAGGAAAAAGGGGTCTAAGCCCTTCAAATCTATAATGGGGGAAGGATTACTTTATCTAAGGGAATGCTGTCAGAAGTGACCCTCTACTGAATGCAGGAAAAATTACATTCAAAATGAGATAAAGAGACAGAAGCCGTCTTGGATCTTTGTTATGAATGCGATATAATATGGACACAGGAAATTGAAAAATTAGAAGATTCAGAGTGTTGAATGGATGGAAAAGGGTGAAGGCTAGATTCTTTTTATAGGAAATTCTTGCCAGTTATTTTGGAGGATATATTGGTGCTTGGAGTGAGATGACTCACTTTGTACTAAGATTTTGGGTAAAGCAGCTCTTTTCCTGGCCAACTCATATCTGACTCATTTACCACTAGTGAATAGGGATAAAATGCTCCTGGCTAAGAACCATTGTAAGTATTTTTTTGGTTCATTTTTCTTGGATGGGGGAGGGGATGACAACACACTGCAAACAGTCATTTAATTTTTTAGCACTGTGTTGATGGACCATGAAGAACAAATGACTAGAAGTGGCTAATACAAAGAGATTCATTTTGCCTTAAGTACAGTTTTCAAAACAATTTTTAGGGGTTAAAGGACTAAACAAGAAAGAAATTATCTATCTGCAAAAATAAACACAAAATACCTCAAGAAAAACAAAAGCTAGATGAATCAAGTTATATGTTCTACGAGAAATCAACGAGTATACAATCATTAAAGATTGGCCTACTTTGCATAAGCATTAAAAAGAGAGAAGTATAATGTTAGTTTCTCTCTCTTTCCCCTTTTGTCGTGTTTTTTTTAGGAAAGTGTACCTTTTTAAAATGATCATTTGTCAGATATCTGTTTCAACGAACTCCTATTCTACTTTGGAAATGTCAGTGGAAACTCAAGTTTATTCTTAGAAACCAATTCAGGTTCTGCCAAAATATTAAAAAAAAATAATTCTCTCTGGTAATTAGATCTTTAGAGATGACCAGCTATTAAATTATTAGGAGTACATCTATAATGTAGAATTCCTAATCAGATCCTTGTTTTATTTTACATGAAAAACAAACCCTGAAAATTAGGTTTTCAAATGTCAATTGAATATTGTGTGACTCTTATTCCATTTTTTAATACAGTCTTATATACAATTTGATAAAATGGCTTATTTAACTCATGATAACTCTTTATGGAATGAATGGTTTCAAGTCATTGTCTACAAATCAGACACATGAGAAAACATAATTCCAAGTCTAGCTAGTTTGATTTTGAGTACACATCTTACTTATAAATGCAAAAGCTTAAAAAAGAAACTAAAAATTACCAAATTTCAATTGGTTCTAGTTCTAAATGGGTTATCAGTCTCTTCAAAGACATTGATAACTTCATTCTATATAAGGAGCTCTGGTCGACTAGTGATAAATAGCTGTGCTGCAATCTTGAAGGCACACAGTTCAAATCCACTAGTTGCTCCACAGGAGAAGGATGGGCACTCTCCTCCTGTGCAATTAACTGCCCCTGAAAATGTGCTGAAGGGTCAACTTGGGTCGGTTCCAACTCGATGGCATACAACAACATAGAAATACAGAAAATTGTTAAATACACATTAATTTCTAATGTATATATTTCCTTAGAGGCTGTGTTACCAAGGGTTTAGAAGCTAGATATTATACAAGCTATGTATGTTTCTAATTTTTGTCTATGGTAATAATATTTTGAGAACTGTTTACACAATGAGACTAACATTCTAATACAAATTTCTACTCTTTATTTTCATCCAGTGTAAATAAAACTTTGGTTTGTAAAAGTGGGCTAAAATTTGAAAGTTCTGGTAGAAATAAGAACAATTACTCTCTTATCTTCTTCCTCCCCATCCCTACTCTCCCTGGGGCCATGTTTTCATCTCTGTTTTCAGTGTCTAACTTGTCATCTTTTGGTGGTTTATATTATATTAGGAGTTAGGCCCAATCACTGATAAAGAATCTTAGAATTCAGTGCTGTTTTTTTTATACAATAATATTCAACTTGGAAAAAATTAAACGTCCCAATTCATCTTTATCTCTATCTCTTATATATCTCTTTTGTCTCACTCCAGTTACCCTGTCAAGTCGTTTCATCCAGGGTCCTCTTCAAAATAAAAACCAACCGCACTGCCACAAAGTCTATTACAACCCATAGCAAACTTCCATCAGGTTCCCAATGCTGTAAACTTTAACAGTAGAAGATTTCTCATCTTTCTTGTTTGGAGCCACTGGTAGATTTGACCTGCCACACGTCGCATGACCTTTTGGTTAGGAGTGCAACATTCTACGGGCTATAATAGGAGAGTTCCTTTTATAGAGAACATAAAAGGCAGGCGTTCTAGTAGCCTAGTGGCAAGAAGCTGTGCTGTAATCCTGAGGGCTTGTGGTTCAAATTCTTTTACCACTAGTCCACAACAGTTCCCAATAAAAATAAACACTATGGTTACATAAAACAAGAAGTCATGTTGAATCAAATGGTTGAATGTAAAAATGGTAAGCAAAAAGTTGGCAGTTCAAACCCAGTAATGGCTCCCCAGAAGAAAGACCTGGTTTCTTTAAAACTTATATCCAAGAAAACTTTATGAAGCAGTTCTCATCTGTCACATGGTGTTAGTCTGAGTCAAAGCGTATCTGATGGCATCTAAATAACAGCAACAGTCAGCAAGTAATAACTAAGCAATAAAATGATCTGGTTAATTTTAACCTATAGTAGTAACCTGACCTAGCTCAAGATCATGTATAGTGTTGAACACATTGCAGATTATAAATAAATATTTATTGAGTGATTCATTGATAAATGGATCCATAGGAAAACAAACCATTGATAACATTATGATATAATATTTAGTAATAATGTCTTAACTCTTATTATCCCTCAGAATACTATGTATTCTGAGAGAATCAAGGTAGTTATATCTGTATAAGGTTTTCTAAAATAAAATTTTATAATTTTTTATTTCATAATCCAAAAATGGTAGTGTACATTTTCAGGTATATTGGCTAATCAGAAAGGGTTTTTTAAATTTTTTATTTTATTTTTTTTTAATTTTTGCTTTTGTTGCTAGCTGCCATCAAGTAGGACACAGAACAATGACAACTCCATATACAATGGGATGAAATGGACCTTGGTCTTATACCATGTTGTGAACAGTTGTAGAATAGAATGTTGTGATTTTGGGATTTTCATTGGCTGATTTTCAGAGGTAAATCACCATGTCTTTCTTGTTAGCTCATCTTAGTTAGAGAGTTTCTCATAAATATGCTTGGCGTCATAACAACAGGCAAGCCTTCACTGCCAGGTGCTTGACAGCTATGTAAGAGGTACATTGACTAGGTTTTCTACTTGCAAGATGATGATTCCATCACAGAACCATTAGAATTTCCTATAATCTTATTTTCTTAAGGATAGATGGGCTGAGGAAACACTTTTAAAAGGATGTAGGGAAAGTTTCCATATGAATGTCAAAATGAATTGTATTGAAAAAGTAAAATAAAAAAGGTAGAAATGTTGAATATTAAAATATTATAATAGAAAAAATAATGCAATAAAGGATTGATATAGCTAAAGAAAAAAATACATGAGTTGGAAAGCTATATTGAGGAACCAGTTCATAAAACATCAAGAAAAAAATAAAACAAAAAGTAGTTAAGAAAAGGAATTAGAATGTTTTAGGGTCCTAGAAAAAGGTAAAGAGCAAAAAAATGGGAGAGGATGATACATTAGAATAAACAATGAGGATAAACTTGCAATAGGTAAGTTGATACTGTAGGCCTGACACTGAAAGAGCCCTAAGAGGACCAAAAGGAATGTGAAGAGCAACCTGTACATACACTTTTCCTGAAAGAATTAGC